TGCCCAGAATTGGACACAATATTCCAGGTGTGGTCTAACCAAGGCAGAATAGAGGAGTAGCATTACTTCCCTGGATCTAGATACGATGCTCCTATTGATGCAGGCCAAAATCCCATTGGCTTTTTTTGCCGCCACATCACATTGTTGGCTCATGTTTAACTTGCTGTCCACGAGGACTCCAAGATTTTTTTCACATGTACTGCTCTCGAGCCAGGCATCATCCCCCATTCTGTTTCGTGAGACCAGTCACTCTCGTTGCAATGGTGTCGTAACGGTGAGGCTGCAGACCATATTTTAGTTCAGTCTCAGCACAGCAAGCGTGAGGTTTCAAAATAAACAAACTCAGTCAGCATTCTTCTTAAGTTTCAAGGTAGCTTTTACTAGAAGCGTCTATACACAAACGACTACATGATGAGAATAAAAGATGGCGACGAACTAAGCATAGCAAGAAAACACACAGCAAATGAGAGATCTGCCCTTCTGTCTTATCTATGTTCTTGGCTGGTACACTCCCAAGTTTTCTCAGGGCAAAGGAATTTTGTGTTATCACAGTTTCACTGTCTGGCCTGTAACTTTGTAATAATAACATATGTGAGCTGAACAATAAATGAACACGACTGAATCCATCTTTGAAAAGCAATACTAATACATTGCAAAGCTAATACAAACACATTGAAAAACATACATGTGAAATAACTATAACTATTCTGACATTGCGGACCACTGGCTTAAAGCATTGGAGGATCTCTCCTATTTGAAGGAAGAACTCTGGAGGCTTGGGGAACTAACCTGCGTGTTTTGGTTTGGCTGGTCATACTCCACCCTACCCTCACTCTATATGTTCAAGTCAGTTGGACTGGTTTTAGAAGCTTACTTAGCCTTCGTGAGATCATCTGCTACAGCAGGGAAGTTTCAAAGGCCTGGGACAGATTATAGCAAAACAGTTCTATAATCTAACTGGAAATTTCCCACTATTTTCCATTAGCATTTGCTTCCTGATGCATTCACCTCCTGCCTTCTAATAGGGCCAGTCCTGATTACATGCCCTCCCATAGACAAAATATGCATGGGATTGTTTGCAACATTTAAAAAAATCTTTGGAATCCCATCCCATGGACATGCTTTAGCAGGGGATCCTATGCTGAGCAGGACGCTGGCCTTCCAATCCTACAGTGGATCTTTTATGAGCAGTTGCTTCCTAACACAGCATCAACAGCAGGTGCAGTTCCAAGAACGGAGCCTTCTGGTTAAACTGCAGGGCACCAGCTCTTCAGGTGCATCCTTTAGTCTTCTCATTGTCAACTGAAGCCCAACCTTGTGGCTTAGGAGATGAGCCGCCAACAGCTGCCTTGGCTGCAACATAAAGAATTTGTCATTTCCCAGCACTCCTTTACTGTTTTGAATTCCAAGCTGAAATCTCATAATATTCAGGGCCTTGCTGTAAGGTAGTATCTCTCTTACACTGGTTACAAAGTGGGTAAAACCCAATGCATTGCATATTTAAAAGCATGGTTCTTCTGCCCATCTTTTAAAGGTGCTTTTCGACACTACTTAAGGAATTAAGGACTGAAACCGTGTATCAGGGCTTTTGCAATGCTGTTGGAAGTAAACAAAAAAGTTTTAAAAAATTCTAGATTGAAAAGATTCTCCTGACCAGTACAAATTTCACATTACAGGCAAGGTTACAGAGTTGGATTGAAAAATCTGATCCCCCAGATGTTGCTGGACTCCAGCTCTCACCAACTCCATCCAAGATGGCCAACTGTTAGGGATAATGGGAGTTCTACTCCAGCAACCTTTAGGCATCCAGTAGTTTCCCAGCATGAATAGAAAAGTCTTGGGTTTTTAGGAAATCAAACAAAAAACAATATAAGATGCTCAGCTATATTTCTATCTCGTTTTCCTTTGATAGGACGATATGTAGCTTTATCTTTCCAACTACTAAATTCTCACATTGTCCTTGTGAGATAGTATAGTTTGGGAAGTGAGTGACCGGTTAAAAGCCATTAAAGTTCATAGTTGAGCAGGGATTTGAACTTTTCCAGTAGTAAACACTGAACAAGGTGCTTTGAAGCAGTTTGTTTATTAGTTGAAAAGCCACTTCAGCCTCTGGGTGTTTTGAAGGATTGGGGGGGGGGGGTGTCACTTGGACTCAAAAATTAGAAACTAAAATCATTGAAGAGCACAATAGGAACCGGTACAACTTAAACACAACCTGATTTTTTTCCCTAAGGAAAATCCTTTTTAAAGTTGTTGAAGGAGGTCAAAAATATGTGGTGAACTCAAGACTTTGTATATGTCAAAGAGCCTGAAAATGTGATCACATGCAGCAGAATCTGCAGGAAAATCTTAGTTTTAAATGTAAGTTTCTACTCCTTGTGGCTACAAGTACAAGAGAAATTTGCTGTAATTCCAAATGCTTTAGTGTCCTTGCCACTCCTGTGACTAAAATAAATTACAGTTTGACCTTTATATCCACTGGAATTAGGTCCAAGAGCTGCTTTGGATACCAAAATCCAGTTACAAAAGTGTCATTATAAATAATGGCTTAGTAAAATAGCGTCCCTTACATAAAATGC